CACTGATAAGAGCCGAAAAAGAAAGTCGTTGAATTTTTATTATCGCGAAAGAAAATAATGTGATTTGAAGACCATTATATCACTATATTTCTATATTTTGAGCTTTACAGCCTTTTGCACAAATTATGAGAATTGTCGAAATATCTAAATATCATAATATCGAGTGCATGATGGGTAACCCCGCGCGATGCCCTTAGTCCCTTGTCTTTGTAGTTTTTTTTTTTGGCGACAGACTTATCCGTAGTTCTGAACATTTTCTCAATGTCAACAATGAATTATTCTAGCAAAGCCGCGTGTTCCGGACAATATATGGATATGGATATTATGATATTTAGATATTTAGACAATTCTCATAATTTTTGCAAAAGACTGTATAGGTTTATTTTCCATTAAAAAAGTTAGATACTCAGGAAAATTTGACGACATTAGCAAAACATAGTTCTGTGTGATTGCTTGAGAACGATTTTGAGAATGCTTTGCATGATATGTGGTCGATCAGTTTCACGTCACGGTCAAGCTGTGGAACCACCTCAGAAAGGAAGACTTGATCAAGGGGTTTCAAGACGTGACTCAGGCGGAACAAATGTAACAGTTAAAAACATTTGAAAAGTGATACCATTAGTGAAATGGCATGCGTTGATCAAGTGTTCGAAACGTGATCTAATTTTCCACTGTTTTACATATYACTGCTAGCAGCGCGAAMGCTATTAGACATGAAAGACGTGCACTTTGCGATCAAGTCTTCGAAGATGCTGCTGGGTTAATTTCATGTCATACTAGCTATGTAGTCGTGTGAGCGCAATTAACGCGGTTTAAAGTGTTAATATATGCCAACGCACGATCAGTTATTCCTTTACGAGTTGATTTGGGTTAAAGTGCGGCAGATCGAACCTTCGAAAAGTCATTTGAGCTATCGATCAAGTGTTCGAAACATGGATATGTGCGGACATGTCGATTTGATGTACTTTAAACTATTTGTCTTATATCCGGCGCTGTCTCAACACGTGCTATTTTACATTTTTTGGGCTTCCTGTTGTTCTCACTGTACTCGCTACAGGAAGCCCATAATTCTAAGTCCTTCAAACCTCCTCCGCTGAAAGACAAATTGTCAAGTAATTAAGAAACTTTTCTTTTATATTTCGTTACGAATTTTTTTTTTTTTTTACACTCCAGAAGACGAAATTCTCGGAAAGTTATTCTTAATCTTTTTTCGATGCTCAAAAGCCTCCTCGGCTTCCCATTTGTTTGTTCATTTGTTTGTTTGTTTTTCCTTTTCTATGCTTCCTTTGTAACGGCCATGGTAACTCAGCTCTAAGTATTAAGCCCATAAACAGCGATAGTTGTATTGATGTCTGAGGACAAATACAATTTTCCTAGCCTCAAACACAGACACGGGATTCCTGTGTCAAGACAAAAAAAAAAACAGCCTTAGGGTGAGGGGGTGGTTGTTACTCTATCTACCTTAACCACAGGAAGCCCAACATTTAAAGTCGGTTCGTTGCATATGAGAAGAGAAATTTCAAGCATCCAGTAAACGTATCAATGCACTGATATGAGTGTCCTTATAAACAGAAAAGAAAGACTATTTAACAAGGGTTCAACTATAGTCATATATTAGAAATCTTTAAAATGTTTCCAGCATTCTTATTACAGTGATTAAAATACACCCCAGCAAACAGCAATTATTATTTTTTGTGACGAAGGCCTTCTGACTGTCCAGAAGAAGTTTTCATTACGTCCTTTTTAAGACGGAACAAAGGTCCTAATTATCTTGTTTTTTTACTATCTCTATTTCACGAATAATATGAAGGAGAATTCAAATTATACTCTGTCTTGTGTCTATTCTAGGTCTCTATGTTCCTATTAGTTTCTTGTGCTTGAGTCACATGCAATCTTTGACTGCGTCATTTTAATTAAACTTTGGTTACCACACCTTATTTCACGGGTTTACTAGCAGTGTAATACTATTGAATATTCTACGCCTGTTTTATGATTTTTTCTTTAAATAAGGAACTTGATATTTTTCGATGAAATCCATGTTTTTCGTCTTAAAATTGTTGTTGTAGTTGTTTTTTATCTAATATTGATATGGAAAGTAAATTTTACTCTGAATGGCATAAAAACTGGCACTTAAACAGCTGTCTTCTAGATCAATATTAATTTTCAGTTAAGTATATATTTTTTCTTGAGTTATGACATTGACTTCGTTCAAAACTTAAATACGCGAATTTTTTTTATATTTTCTTCAAGTATATCATTATGCGTAATAAACACAAAATGAACAGTCGTTCTATTATGTAATATTAAAACTAACATAAAATGATTAATTGTTCTGTTATGTAATAGACAGAGAAATGATCAATCGTTCTAATATGCAATGCGGATTAATCGTTCTAATATGTAAAGACACAAAATGATCAATCATTCTAATGTGCAATGAAC